TCCGAAAACTAGTGCGGTGTAGTGCTTAGAAGATTGGGCTGGAGGTTCAAATCCCGACTGAGCCATGGTGAAAAGGTACCCACTATAGAGGAACGGCTGGTGAAAAGCTATTGGACTCGGTTGAGATGGCAAAGTTAACATGCTTAAATAGAGAAAAAATCATTATTGACATATATTCAGGATTGGAAACTTCCCATGGGCTTTTTTCATGAACGAGAAAACCTGCAATTTTGGTATTTGAAGATTGAGAAAATACTGGTTCACAAGAGATAAGAGTGGTTGGGTTTTAATGAGTTGGATACTATATTTAGCTGCAGGACAGAGAACCGGAAGTCCTTTAATCTCTCTCTCCGCCTCTTCTTTTGTTTTCTCTGTCTTTCGGTCTCTCCTTTTTTCCGTTTTCCCTTTGTTCTTAACTAGATTAAGTGGTGTAATATAAAAATATGTTTTGCAATGAGCATCAACTTTTGTACATTTTTGAATAAGTATCAATATTTTTTTTAAATCCCAGTTTAGCTATGAAGCTCATTGGTCGGCCGTTGGCCAGCTGCTCACTCTAAGCCTCACCTCCCTCATTGTAAGTATAAAATGGGTAGGAGGAGAACCACGCCTGCCACCTTGAGCGCCTTGGAGATGTTTTGGACTACAACTCCCATCAGCTTCATGGCCGTGTGGGGATGTGAACTCTAGTCTCCCAGGTCCTAATCCGACACTCTAATCCAGTGGTTTTTCCCCCAACCTTGGTCTCCAGCTGTTGCCGGACTACAACTCCCATCATCCCTAGCTAGCATGGCCTGTGGTTATGGATGATGGGAGTTGTAGTCCAGCAGTTGCTGGAGACCCAAGTTTGAGAAACGCTGCAAAAACACTACACAACCCTGCCTCTGTTTTATTCTTTGTTTTTAAATGAAAGCTGGGAATTTGGGGAGTTCTGCCCCCACCCCTGTGGACACTGCAGCCCCTATCAGTTGTGGAGGTGCAGATCAATTTCTGCAGGCCCTCTGGCCACCACTCCTGATTGTCCGGTGGTGGAGTTTTTGCTCTCATTTCTCTCTTTCCCTCCCTCTCTGCGCTCCCTCCGGGTCCATTCTCAGAAATGAGATCATAAGGGCCGCTTCTCACAGCCTGACCTTTCCCGCTAATGCCTCTCGAGCAACCGTGAGCCAGGGAAAACCTTTCTCTTTCCCCAAAAGCGGGTTTCTGCCAGAGGCCCGCGGCTGAAATTTCAAACGGGGGCACGGCGGCAAGCTGGCACAGAAGGGATTAGGCAGAGGGCAAAACAGGCTTTGCTGTTTTTAATGCGCACTTAGCAGATTTCGTACGAGGCGTATTTTGGTCTCCCCTATAAGCTCAGCTCTTGGGACAGAAGCATTTCCCAACCGAACCACAGAACTGTAGTCAGAAGGGACCCCGTAGGGCCATCTAGTCCAACCCCCTGTATGGAAGAATCACAGCTAAAGGACTGTATGAACAAAGGAGACATCCCTTTTCCCTTGCCTCACTATGTGTGCTGTCCTGGATTTGGGGGGAGTTTATCATTTCACAGGGACGTGGTCCACAGGGACGCGGGTGGCGCTGTGGGTTAAACCACAAAGCCTAGGACTTGCCGATCTGAAGGTCGGCGGTTCGAATCCCCGCGACGGGGTGAGCTCCCGTTGCTCGGTCCCTGCTCCTGCCAACCTAGCAGTTCGAAAGCACGTCAAAGTGCAAGTAGATAAATAGGTACCGCTCCGGCGGGAAGGTGAATGGCGTTTCCGTGCGCTGCTCTGGTTCGCCAGAAGCGGCTTAGTCATGCTGGCCACATCACCCGGAAGCTGTACGCCGGCTCCCTCGGCCAGTAAAGCGAGATGAGCGCCGCAACCCCAGAGTCGGCCATGACTGGACCTAATGGTCAGGGGTCCCTTTACCCTTTACCTATCATTTCATCCTTTAACTTTCACTGGATCACGCAGAGAGATAGCAAGGAACAACAAGGCACTTAATTCGGCCAACCAACAAGTCATGAAATAGTATGCCAGCTTTGGAGTTCCACAGAAGTCTTCTTCAACAGGCTAAAGGTAAAGGTAAAGGTACCCCTGCCCGTACGGGCCAGTCTTGCCAGACTCTAGGGTTGTGCGCTCATCTCACTCTTTAGGCCGGGCGCCAGCGCTGTCCGCAGACACTTCCGGGTCATGTGGCCAGCGTGACAAGCTGCATCTGCCGAGCCAGCACAGCACACGGAAAGCCGTTTACCTTCCCGCCAGTAAGCGGTCCCTATTTATCTACTTGCACCCGGGGGTGCTTTCGAACTGCTAGGTTGGCAGGCGCTGGGACCGAACGACGGGAGCGCACCCCGCCGCGGGGATTCGAACCGCCGACCTTTCGATCGGCAAGCCCTAGGCGCTGAGGCTTTTACCCACAGCGCCACCCGCGTCCCTTCAACAGGCTAGATGTTTTTTAAAAATGCCAGCGAGTAGCAGAAAGGTAAGGCAAATGTCTGCTGGCATTGGTCAAGCCATGTGGGGAATAGGTTTTCAAATTGTTTTGTGTTTTCTTAATAGCAACCCCCCCCCCCCCCAAATATGGTGCTGGTTTTAACTTTTAAATCCCTGGGTGATTTTTGAGACCTGGTTATCTGGAGGATCACCTTCCCTGTTTAGGGAAGCTTTTAATGTTTAATAGGTTATTGTATTTTAATATTCTGTTGGAAGCCGCCCAGAGTGGCTGGGGAAACCCAGCCAGATGGGCAGGGTATATATAATAAATTGTTATTATTATTACCTATATAAGCCTGCCTGAACTTTAAGATCAGCATCAGAGGACCTGTTCTGTGTCTCGATGTGATAAATAGCACATACCCAAAGGCAGTGGCTTTTCAGTTGTGGATCCACACCTTTGGAACTCCCTTCCTAGGGAAATATGCACAGCCCCTTCATAAACATCCTTTAACTTGTTTGATTTTTTAAATGCTTCTTCTAAATTAATGGATTTGATGGCTATTTTATGCATTGTTATTATTGCTTTGAATTAATTCGCCTTGGATGGGCAACGGGCCCTGAAAGGCAGGTTGTAATTCATATTTATTGAGAGCAGAGAAGAAAAGTGCAGAAATGAGGGGTGTCAAAATAATAATGAAATATCGAAATATCATGTCCTGTTCCATCACGTTTGTTAGTTAACAAATTTGTTAGCTGAGATTCCTGCATTGGAGGGGGTTGGACTAGATGACCTTGGGGTCCCTTCCAGCTCTGCAAGTCTATGATTCTAACACAGCAAGAGTTGCTATGCATTTTGATTCATAATGTGAATTAACACAGCAAAGTTGGGGTGATGGTGCTAGCACCAATTTCTTTGGGCCATTGTGCTTTTTGGGAAAACTTGCAGTGAAGGCCACCAGTTTGGATGAGTTTGAAAGAGGGTTCGGCAAATTCATCGTAAATAATAGTAATAATTTTTTATCTATACCCCACCCTTCCCGGTTCAGAAAACCAGGCTCAGGGCGGCTAACAACAAATTTAAAACATTTAATTGATGCAACAAAAAAACCGCATAAAATGCAGTATAAAATGTGAATAACAATAAATTCAGAATTCAAAAATCAATTTAGGGGGGAAATCCACTCAATAAACATTAGATGATCACCAGGGCTAGCTGGCTAAATTAGTACTTTTTGGGCCAGTGAGGAGACCAGGGCAGAATTAGCTGTGGGATCCCAGAGTGGGTAATCTTCATAAAAAGGGGAGAGGGAGGGAAGGAAGGGGAATAAAAGATCAGGCTAAGTTCAAATTGAAAGCCAGGCGGAATAGCTCTGCCTTACAGGCCCTGCGGAAGGAGGTTAAATCCTGCAGGGCCCTAGTCTCATGGGACAGAGCATTCCACCAGGTCAGAGCCATCACTGAGAAGGCCCTGGCCCTGGTGGAGGATAATCTGACTTCCTTAGGGCCTCTAAACTATGATTCATGGACCTTAAGGTCCTCTGCAGGGCATACCAGGAGAGGTGGTCCCGTAAATACGAGGGGCCTAGACCACAAAGGGCAAAGGTCAAAACCAGCACCCTAAACCTGACCCAATACTCCACCGGGAGCCAGTGCAATGGCTTTGCCTCCACGGCTGGAGGTAGCAATGCTTTTGAATATCAGTTGCTGGAAACTACAGGAGAGGAGAGGGACGCGGGTGGCACTGTGGGTTAAACCACAGAGCCTAGGACCTGCCGATCAGAAGGTTGGCGGTTTGAATCCCCACGACGGGGTGAGCTCCCGTTGCTCGGTCCCTGCTCCTGCCAACCTAGCAGCTCAAAAGCATAAAAGTGCAAGTAGATAAATAGGTACCTCTCCGGCGGGAAGGTAAACGGCATTTCCGTGTGCTGCTCTGGTTCGCCAGAAGCGGCTTAGTCCTGCTGGCCACGTGACCCGGAAGCTGTACGCCGGCTCCCTTGGCCAATAAAGCGAGATGAGCGCCGCAGCCCCAGAGTCGTCCGTGACTGGACCTAATGGTCAGGGGTCCCTTTACCCCTTTACTTTTACTGGAGAGGAGAGGGGCTCTTGTGGGTTTCTGGTTGGCCACTGTGAGAACAGGATGCTGGACTAGATGGGCCATTGGCCTGATCCTGCAATCTCTTCTTGCATTCTTCAGAAGCATAGTATATCAACAGCAGGAGGCCTAGAGGCTTGCCATGCTGGATGTACAAAGGTGAACAGTCAGGCTTGCACCCCTCCACAACATAGGGAAGGAGGCCAAAGGATTTTTGCTTTTTTCCTCAGTAGAGGTGGCACCAGAGACTTGCCCTCTCTCCAAATACTATCCATTCATCCATTTTCTGTTCGGATTTTAATCCCAGCTGTGCAGGCTGGCTCCAGAACCGCCCCTCCCTCCTGCAAAGAGGGCTTATTTTTAAACACAAAAGCATCCTTCCCCAACAAGTCCGTTCCAATATACCCTTTTCCTGCTGAGGTTACATGCGTTCAACCGGGTGTGTCTATCTGACGGGAAGAGAGAAAGAGATAGAGAGAGGCAGCAGGCCATTCTTTAAAGAACAAGACTTTAATGCAAATAAGTTGACAGGGTTTTTGTTTTTCTCCCCCGCCTTTCCCTTCCTAGCTAAACTTGACAACCGTGGGCACAAAATAATATACAAACTTGGAAAGAACAAATACAAAGAAACATTATATAAATAACAAGTTTGGGCAACTTCATTGCAAACAGGCTCAGAGTTTCGAAATACAAAGAGAAGGAGTTGCACTCATACGCAAACACACACACACACACACACACACACACTAAAAATGTAGCCAAAGTTGGGGAAGGTGACTAGAGGTGGGTGGCTGCATTGCTAAACATCCTGGCCAAATTCTGTTCCTGCCGGACTGTTACAGATCTGTATCCACCAGAGACAAAGGACCTGTGGCTATCAAGGTATTGCTGGACTACAAATCCCATCAGCTCCAGCCAGCATGGCTACTGGGGAAGAATGATGGGGGTTGTAGTCCTGGAAACATCAGGAGAGCGGCAGGTTTGCCTGGTATAAACCCACTACTGATGGCTATCTTCTGCATCAGGTCCTGGAGAAAAAGAATTGCTTTTTTTCATTTTTCAGTCTGGATGTCTTCACCCTCCAGCTTTTCCCTGCTCCCTGCGTGTCACCAGTACGGGACGGGGCAGCTATTCTTTATTAGACAGGAGACCCACTCTAGCCAAAGTGATGAGCACCAAAATTGACTCCCCTTCCTAACAGGAAATCCTATGGCCGAGCAAGACTCGAGACAATTGGGGGGCGGGGGCAAATACAACCCTACCAGAAACTGTGGGTCCCAACACTTTCCCAGTGCGTTCTTCGGCTCACCCCTCCAAAGGGGAGTTCGCAGCCCCCCATTCATATTGGAGAAGAGGTGAGATAATCACACATAAAACAACATCCAGTTATGGAAACATGGTGGAAGCAGAGGAGAGCTATTATCTGCTTTGAGCTCAAGCCTTCGGAGGAGAATAAATGCACAAACACCAGACAGGTGGAAGCACACCTGCGAACAGTTTCGCAGTATTGGAACAGAGTCAAAAGAGCTGTGCGTTAGCCAGCTGCATCCTTCAAGGAACAGGCAGGACAGCGAGTGTCCCCAAAACATGAGGAGATTCAGTCCATGCCCCTTCAATGTCCCTTTATTGCTCAGTTGGTGACTGGGAGAGAAAATTTTCTCCCAGGAGAGCCTGGACAGAAAGGCAGCCTTTGTTTTCTGCAAACAATTCAGAGGGGTCCACGGTCTGGTTTAATCACCAAACGCATTTCTCAATTATCTTTCTTTAAAAGGGGTTTTAAGAAGACGTGTATGACCCAAGTCACCTCTGCAAAGGTTTAGGATGGCGAAAATTAGGCTTAGGGTTTTTGGGAAACCTGGTGGCTGATGACAGCCAGTTTATTCCATGTCATCCACCCCGGCAGAGAGCTCTTGCTTGGCAAGCATCAGAAACAATAGGAGATGGACGTGGATGGTTGCATCACGGGCGGCGGTTGTTTGATGGAAGACTCGGCGCCACGTGCCCCCAAGCACAAGCTGTTGGAAACGAGGGGTTTTCCCTAAAGCCTGGGGGGAGAGGTCCACACACCTTCCTGGCTAACAACACAGACCCCTGAACCCAGAAGACACCTCCACATTACCAAAGGGTTGCAAAAGCAGTTGCTACATCCTCAAGGATGCTATCAGCACCCCATCATTCACTCCCCTTTGTTTTGGGCACCTTGGGACGAGACTCTACTGGATTGCCCAGTCTGGGTCTTTGGGGAGGGGGAACTTCCAGGGCAGAATGCCACCACAGGTCAATGGGTGCTTGGCTATTTCCTGGGCTTGCAGGCCCAAGCAGGTATTTCCTGGGCGCCTGCAGAAACAGCTTGCATTCTTCCGCCTCTCTCACAATAGACCCGGTGGGGCTTTTTTCAACAGCCCTCTCAGCCGTTAAGATTTCCATTGTTAACAATCCCATTGTTGCTTCTGCAAAAGCTTATCCCTGTCTGCTCTGTGCTGCACAGATTCCCAAGGCTTAGCACACAAACGGGTGCGACCAAGACCTTGGGAATTAAAACAGCAATGTCTGGCTTAAGAATTGACTGCACTTGGTAGTAATGGACCCCCACATTTTCAGAGCATCACCACCACCAAACGTGGGCAATGGTCAGTGCGGATAGGAGTTGGAGTCCAGCAACACCTGGAAGTTTGCAGATCCCTCCTCCAATGGGTTGCTTCCTCCTGTTGTAACAATGACCACATATTCAGGGGGCTCCATCCTTATGGAACCCCTACAGGACTTGGCAAGAATCTAGCAACCTGCTTGCTCTGGGCTTCTCACTCCTGGAAAAGACATTCTAATGAACTCTCTTCCTTTTGGAGATTCAGAAGGAGCCCAGATACTTCTCTTCCCCAGGTGGATTTTCTGCAGGGATTTAAATTATGGGACACCTCATCAGAACCACCCCGCTACCCCAAGGCAGACCAGACATTTCTCAAAAGGAACACGCACAAAACCCATGCAACAGTTGCCAACGTTTTCCCTCCAACAGTAAATATCAAAAACACACACTGAAACACACACAGTGGGGTGGGGAAAGTTTGTTTGTTTTCCTCGCTTCCTGTTGGAGCCCGCCAAAGTACCGCTATACGTTGGATACCTTTTGGGACTCTCTGGCTTGCCGTAGTCCATACAGCCACTTGATGACCCGGGCGTTGCGCTCAATGATGGAGATGCCATAAGGAATGCGCTCAGCCTGCCTCTCCTCCAAGGTGACGGCGCTGCGGCGAGAGCGGGTGCCCTCCGAGCTGGCCGTGCTGACGCTGTGGAACTTGACGGACACAATGTCCGAACTGGCCCGGGTGAAGCGCTCCACCTCCACGTCCCCCATGTCCTCCGGGTCCAGGCCACAGTAGTTGAAGAAGCGCTCAAGGTCCGCCGTCGCCCGGGAGTACCGGTCGCTCAGGTCCGATTTGGAGCGGTGCAGCAAGGTCTGGCGCCTGGCGCTGTCTGTCCGCAGCTCGCCGCGGGGGCTGGGGGAGCTCAGGGGCCCGGTGGACAGGATTTTGGCCTGCGCAGGGGAGGAGGGGATCGGCGTCAGCTGGATACTGGGGACTACCCTCGCCCTCAAGGCCCCGCACGGCCGGACGTCCACCCTGCGCACGGCGACCGTGCTGGGCGGCTTGGAGGAGGCCGAGCTTTGGGACAGCTTGCTCATGCCTTCCGCCGGGTGGCCCTTCTTCCTTGGGGTATCCGGGAGGCTCCCGGGGCTCCAACCCTGGCCTCCTGCCCCCCACTTGTGCTCTGCGGGGCTCTTCTCCGGCTTGGGGAATGACAACGGGCTGTCGCAGATGTTGATCAAGTTGTTGAGGATCTCCAGGTTCAGGGAGGTCTTGGCGGCGCCGCGCGCCTCCGCCCGGCGTCCTCCTTGCGGGGTCTTCCGGCTGGGGGTGAGCATCACCCGCCGCACCCCTGGGGTGAAGAGGGGCTGCTTGAGGAACAGAGCCCTCACCGGCTCCTGTCTCGTGCTGGCCACTTGCTGGCTCTTGACATACTTGGCCTTGTCCGCTTCCAGCCTCTCCACCGCGCTGGGCTTCTTGGCGGCAGCGCTGGCCGCCGGCCGCCGGAAGTACTCAGGACCCTTGTTCAGGATTCGGAACGGCATGGCCGAGGTGAAGGGGGCAGCGGCCGGGACGCCTTTCATGGCGTGGGTGGCTTGGAGGGTCTCCACCGGCATGGCACTCACCGCAATGCTTCTAGACCACCGCCGTGTCCCGTGGCAGGGAAGGGGTTGTCACATGCCACAGAGGGCAGCCCGCCCTGGAAAAACGCCGCTCCGGCTTGCCTCCCCGTTCTCGATCAACAGGAGTCCGCTGCTGGCCTGACACTTTGCTGCGGAGAAGGAAAAGAGGGCAAAATCAGTGGCTGAGACCCGGCGGGCTTCCTTGACCCTGCAGGTCTTTTCCACCCCTCCTGGCACAGCTCGAGTGCTGCTGTCGCTGCTCCAGAGCCGGGATTTCTGTGCTGTCGTCCCTCAGACAAACAGCACCCGGCAGACAAAGGCAGGAGCTGGCGCTGGGCAGAGGGAGCTGAGCGCTGAGCAGCCTATTTCAAGGCAAGGGACCGCCCACCGCTTTCAGACCGGGCTGTCCCCGCTGGCCAATCGGAGAGGAGAGAGGCACTTCAAATGGGGGCCTCAGCCTATCAGGAGGAGCCTGGGGAAAGGGAGGGAGGAGGGAGGCGAACTCATTGAATGAAAATAGCCCTGGAGAAAGAAAATCGGTTCCCGTCTGGACCTCCTGCCAGCTCCAGCCTCCACTCGGCTATTATTACTATTCCCTAACCTCCTCCTCCCACTTCCTCCTGCCTCCCCCCTTCCCAACATCACCTGTGCTCTTTCCGCATACTGGGATGCGACAGCTTTAAGAGAAGGGAAGAACAAGCGGAGGAAGGCAGCGTCATCATTAGAAGATAAAAGCCTTGCTCCCTTGCAAATGTTACTAGATTCGCGTAGGTATTATCTGCCAAACTCCCAGTACATCACGCAGAGCAATGTTCTCCCCAAAGACCAGATGAAGGAACAGATGACCAGCCACAGCTTTTCCACAGGGGAAAGGAGGGGGATTGTTGCAGGAATTTATGTATAGGTTGGGGGTGGGGTTTGCCCCTCCAGCAGATATCATGTACATGCAGCCCACTACCAAAATCAGCACAATCGCTTTTGTGACTTTTGTGACTTGTCCCCACAAAACACTTCATCACAGTTTCTTCCTATCTATTCAAAGGGCTTCTGCTGCACAATACCAAACGTAAGAATTCACTGATAAATGTGTCTATGTACTGGCTCATTGGGAAAACTTCAGAAATTCATATAGACTTGTGAGCTCAGCTGCTCAGCAGCCCCTCTGCCCGAGTAATAATCCCTGGCATCCTGATACCTGAGTGCCAGACAGGTAGCCATTCCAGAAATAACAAACCCAGATGAAGACAAAAGGGTGTGATTAACTTGGCTGGGAAACAGGGAAATGTAAATATCTCTTTTGTTACACTTGATGGGTGTTTGGTGGAGGGCAAGGAGAACCATGGGGCAGGGTCCAGGATGCTCAGATTACGGCCACTAGACCTCCCCTTTCATGATGTAACTGGGATGTATGAATGATGTAGTTTGGGGGGGGGTAACATGGGGATTAGCAGCTAATAAAAGTTGGGGTCTTCTTTTGTTCTGGGCTTCCATCTTGTTTCCACCTTGTGGCAGGTGGGAGTCCTGTCGAGACAGTCTTCAATAAAGACCAAGCCTACTGGCTGCTGTTTTGCTCTGGTATTCCTGGCTGGTGTCCTTGTTTTTTGTCCAAGGGAGCCCTCAGATTTCTCCATTAACAGGATAAATAACACCCCACGTGTGGAGTGGGGCAGCATCTCCCAGACCCTCACGCAGCGATGGCACACTCCCTGCTAAGTACACAAGACAAGCATGGCTACAGGAACAGGCCGGAGGGCCACCGAGAGCCCAGCAACCTGTTCTTCCAGTGGCCAGACAGATCCTTGCAGTCCAAAATCCCAAGCATCTCCAGGGAGGTCTAGGAGAGACCCTGGTCCTGGAGGGCTGCTGCCGGCCAGTGTGGACAATACTGAGCTACAGGGGCGAAAGGTCTTATTCATTATAAGGAAGCTCCCCAGTGTTCCTATGTTCCAAACAGCTGGTGGGCACCAGTTTGGGGAAGCTTGCTTTAGAACAAAGAGGGGAACGGGGAAGAATTGAAAACCACCTATTTTCTGGGTGCTGCTAGACCAGGGGTCAGCAAACTTTTTCAGCAGGGGGCCGGTCCACTGTCCCTCAGACCTTGTGGGGGGCCGGACTATATTTTTTGGGAGGAAATGAATGAATTCCTATGCCCCACAGATAACCAAGAGATGCATTTTAAATAAAAGGACACATTCTACTCATGTAAAAACACGCTGATTCCTGGACCGTCAACGGGCCGGATTGAGAAGGTGATTGGGCTGGATCCGGCCCCCGGGCCTTAGTTTGCCTACCCATGTGCTAGACAATCCTCTCTTGGCTACCCACCCCCCTTCAAATCGGGATTTTGATTTTGTTATGTGGCTATACAGGTACAGTACAGATCTGTGTCGTTTTCTGTATTCATATTCATGAATATATTCATCCTGAATTGTGGCTGGGGTGGCATGATAGGAAAAAAATCAATTCACAACATCAGTGGCAATTCTTGGGAGCTACAGCTGCCCTCCCGAAGGGCACACTCTGTTTAATGCTATAAGATTACAGAACAATTTTTGCATTAAAAAAAAGCCAGTGTTTGAGAGAAAAGGGGAGAGGAGGGTTGCAGGCAATTATGGACCAGGAAGAAGAAAGAGAAGATGGTTTTCTACCCACAGGGTGGCAGGAAGTCCCAAAGGCTTGCCCCCCCCCATATGTGATAGTGAATCGCACACACAAAAGCATCGCCCAGACCTGGAGCCTTTTTTAACCCCAAGCGACTTCTGCCTTCTCCTCCCTCTCCCCGCCCCCAATCCTCGCAAGAGAGGCATTTTAAACAGTTTGCCACTGCTCTGGGTACCTCATTAGCCAGAAGGATTAGCAGCAGGGGTTGCTCAAATGTCTGGCAAGGGGGAAGAGAGGCTGCTCAAAAGCTCAGGAAATGGCTGGTAGGCAGTGCTGGGCTCTCCCCATATGAGGGAGTGTGGTGTCTGCTGATCTGCCCACCCCCCACCCCGCACAAGCTGACAAAAAAACAAAAACGAAAGGCAATTAAGATGGAGCTTCCATAAGGCCAAAAGATATCTGGCCATCGCTGCAAAAGAGGTTGTAGAACACAATGCAGATACCTTCAGGTAAAGGTAAAGGTACCCCTGCCCATACAGGCCAGTCTTGACAGACTCTAGGGTTGTGCGCTCATCTCACTCTAGAGGCCGGGAGCCAGCGCTGTCCGCAGACACTTCCGGGTCACATGGCCAGCGTGACGAAGCTACTCTGGCAAGTCAGAGCCGCACACGGAAACGCCGTTTACCTTCCCGCTAGTAAGCGGTCCCTATTTATCTACTTGCACCCGAGGGTCTTTCGAACTGCTAGGTTGGCAGGCGCTGGGACCGAGCAACGGGAGCGCACCCCGCCGCGGGGATTCGAACCGCCGAACATACGATCGGCAAGTCCTAGGCGCTGAGGTTTTACCCATAGCGCCACCCGCGTCCCCGCAGATACCCTCTACATAACCCCAAAGAATTTGGCTTTTTATTTTTAAGAGAATGGTGCTACTCCTCATGGTCACACCGTTTCCACTTTCCCCCAACAGTATTTTTTTTTTAATAAAAAAAACGCCATATACCCAAGGACAAGTTGTAGTATTGTGTGACAATGAGATGCAATACGTCCTATGGTTGCTGGGGTGCCCTCCCAGGGAAAAGCAGGAGCTTGCCAACAAAGGTCCGTATAGTAAAAGCTATGGTTTTCCCAGTAGTGATGTATGGAAGTGAGAGCTGGACCATAAAGAAGGCTGATCACCGAAGAATTGATGCTTTTGAATTATGGTGCTGGAGGAGACTCTTGAGAGTCCCATGGACTGCAAGAAGATCCAAACCTCTCCATTCTGAAGGAAATCAGGCCTGAGTGCTCACTGGAAGGACAGATCCTGAAGCTGAGGCTCCAAGACTTTGGCCACCTCATGAGAAGAGAAGACTCCCTGGAAGAGACACTGATGCTGGGAAAGATGGAGGGCACAAGGAGAAGGGGACAACAGAGGATGAGATGGTTGGATAGTGTTCTCGAAGCTACAAACATGAGCCTGACCAAACTGCGGGAGGCAGTGGAAGACAGGAGTGCCTGGCGTGCTCTGGTCCATGGGGTCACGAAGAGTCGGACACGACTAAACGACTCAACAACAACAACAACCCTTACAGGAACAATCAAACCTATAAGAACTCCACTTTCAGATCAGTCCAAGAATCCGTGCGACCCAATGTTTGGCTTCCCACAGTGGCCACGCTAATCTTCTCTGTATCGTTCCAATTTTAGTATATGTGCTGCCGAAGCGAGCACACCCACAGTGGCCACGAGCAGATGCTACGAAGGAGAGCACAAGGAGCGCAGGGAGGGAACAACTTCCCCCCTGTTATTTGCTCCCTAGCTATTGATATCCAGATAGACTGCCTATGAGCCAGGAGGTTCCATTCCATTGTGATGTTTTCATTCACTTGTGTTTCTACCCTGCCCTTTCCCCAACGTGCTCAGTGCATGCTTCTCTCCCGCTTTTATCCTCACAACAGCCCTGTAAAGTAGGCCAGTTGAAGGAGAGAGTGGCTGGCCAAAGACCACCCAGTGAGCTTCATATCTTAAGGAGGATTTGAACTCGGGCCTGGTCTGAAACCCGGCTATTTCCAAAGTGGATGGCGCTACCCCCTTCTGAGTGGCAGGGTTAAATAAGGGGTAGCAAGAGGTCAATGGGGTGCTGGAGGTGTAAATGATTTCAGACTTTGAGAAGCTAGTATCACCAGATCAGGTTCATCACAGAACCATAGAAGGGACCCCGAGGGTCATCCAGACCAACCCCCTGCCAATGTAAGAATCTCAGCTAAGGCATCCATGACAGATACCCCACCCAACCTTTCAAGCCCTAAATGGTCTCAGCCCAGCATCCCTGAAGGAATGTCGCCATCCCCATCGTTCTGCCCGGACACTGAGGTCCAGCTCTGAGGGCCTTCTGGCAGTTCCTCACTGTGAGAAGCCAAGTTACAGGGAACAGGCAGAGGGCCTTCTTGGTAGTGGCACCTGCCCTGTGGAACGCCCTCCCATCAGATATCAACTATCAGACTTTTAGAAGGCATCTGAAGGCAGCCCTGTTTAAGGAAGTTTTACTGTTTGAAGTTTAGTCGGTGGA